TGATAAAAACATCTCAAATTAAGTAGTGGTAATGTTTGTTACTTTTTGAATATGCTTTATATCCCTGAATTGTATGCTTTGTAATGGTGAATTTTAGGGTATGAGACTGATAATTCATAAAGGATCAAAAGTTTAAGCCCAGCCTTAGTAACAGCAAAACCCTGCCTTGAAATAAAAAATAAAAAGGTCTGGAGATTTAATTCAGTGAGAAGGCCCTGGGTTCCTTCCTACAACTGTAAACAAAACTAAACTAATTTTATAAAATACTAAAAATCATATTTTTTTATGAAAAGTAATTATTTCCAAATAAAAATATTAATATTAGTGACATTACATTTTTAGGTCTCTTTGATGTTTGTGTAAATGAGAATAATTGAATTCTCATGTTTAATTTTATATGTAATCTTTTGCAATATGTTTTTTATTGAAATATGAGAGAATTTGACCTTACATGGATATGGTTGGAAAAGGAAAGTGTATTGCAATTAATTATTCAGATACTCATATATGTTTTTCTTTGGAATTATATAAAAACTTGACATGTGACAACTCTTAAATATTAATTGAAGTATAAATCCTGAAATCTCCAAGTGAGATTGACTTCACTGCAATTATTCAGCAATTCCATTGGGCTCCTTAGCTGAAGATGGCCATTTACATAATGGGAATTGGAGTTAGCAGTCCACTTGATGCTCAGGTGACCAGGATAGCTTAATTTTCTGTACTATGACCTCTCCATGTGCCCAATAGGTATTTTCCTATTGTAGTAGCTGAAGTCCAAATGGAGACAGTTCTGGTGAGAAGGTAAAAGCTGTAGCTGTCTTAAGGTCCAAACTCAAAGTTATAGGATTACTTTCTCCGCGTTCTGTTGAGCAAAACTGGAGGGCATGTGTAGATGTGACGACAATGAAAATAGGTGATGGCCCATTTCCTCCCCCCTTCTCCTTTCTCCTTCTTTAAATAATTTACATTTATACTATCTAACCTTTTCTGACAGTTTGAATATCATGAGTATATTGGAATATATATATATATATATATATATATATATATATATAGTAAATATTATCCTTAGCTATTGTTCTTACACTGTTTTAACTTCTGCTTTGAAATTAAAACATCTTACTTGGACATCTGTTTGAAATATTTAAAATTTATTATCAAGTGCAGTAAATGTAATGCAAATGAGTACTGAGTCCTTGTGGCTTTTTGTTATTCTCCCATCCCTTTTAACTTGTGACATTATGGTTTAGTTTTGTTGTTATTCAGTTACTTTAGAACAATTTCTTTCAATGTGACATAAAAAGTGTAATATACATAGAATATTGTGTTTGCCTCAGTATCAGTCTACTGTTTCTAGAATAAACATCTTTATTTCCTCTCAATGTTTATTCTGCGTGAGTGAGTTTGTTTTTACCTTATTTAAAACATATGTATTGGTGGTAGGCATAAAAAGATACATCACACCTAATTCATGTAATTATTTAATTATAATATCCTCCAGGAGACAGTAAATCCACAAAAAATTTTTAACTGACTACAGTTCACAAATTACTTTTCACATGTCCTAAACTGAAAGTGCTGTTGAAATGCCTTTCAAATTTTCTTTAAGGTTCTCCAGGAGAAGTAATATCGTATGCAGGACCAGGTTAGAAATACTTATGTGTTATTAAGCATTTATGTAATTTGAAAATCTTGATAGTTATCAAAGCATGCTAAAAGCATCATTCTTTCAGCTGCCCTTAGAAGTTGCTTCTGGAAATCTTCCTTGAAATTGCTTTCTGAAAGGCTTATTCATACTGTATAGAAAATTAAGCTTTTTCTCTACTACAAAATGGCAAAATGTCTGTAGATTGTTAGTGGAGGTGTTAGGTTGGACATACCTGCTGTTACTGATCAGGGTAAATAATGCATCATGTTTTCTTCAAAGAACATTATCAGAAAACTAAAGCTTGACTGACAGCTCAGCATATTGAAAATCTTAATGCTAAATTTATTTCAAAATATTTGGTGGAAAGACATTGTGAAACTTAGATTCCAACATACAAAATTTTTCCTGAGCACTGCTGTCAAACTCCCAGTATTTGCAGTACCAAAGCCTAATTGGTCACCATTACCATTTGAAGCAGCAAATTACTTTACTATAGTATAATGAATCTCCCTCTGAAACCCTCTGGCTATTTTAGTCACATATGAAATCCCAAGTGCAGACTGTAAGTATTCTTGAGATGCAGATGTATAATTATGGGACATCATTTCAGCTAAATTTTTACTGGCAACTAAACTCTCATTAAGATGAATTTCTAGGTAGCTGCCACACCTTCATATCCTGTTGTGTATAAAGAAAAGTGGCCTTTGTGATTCATAGTTTGTTCTATATTGCATATACTTTCCAAATGCCTGTAGCAATCCCAGTGCATTTCTTAAATTATGAATGACCATGTTACCTTTAGTTCTATTTTGTCCAGCCAGATAATTTGTTTCACTGATCAGTTCTGGTTACCAGTTCATTTTTGAGAGTTCATATTTCAGTGAAGAAATTCTGTGAGTTTCCTTGTAAATAAATAAATTCATGAAGCTTGAAAACTACAAACTGCTATAATTTGGGAAAGGCACATTGTTGTAGGAAGATTCTTCACACTGATTTTTGTCTGTGTTATTCTGTCGCTGCTTTAGTGTGCCACATTCTGCTATATTCTTGCCATTTTTAGTCCTCACCTTACAACTCATGATGACCTCACAAACCTTTTTACATTTATTCATCTCTCTCTTCTTTACATTTTTAGTACAGCTGGCAGTGAGTTAGCAACGCAGAGTTTAGCAATTATTTCTCTAATCATTTCATTTTTAATCTACTTATTCATTTGTTTATTGATTCTCATTAAGTAAATATTTCTTAGCATACATTTGCAAGGCAGTGTTCTTACTCTTTTGGTAGAAATAAAATTGCATTCAATCTTTAGCCTGAAAATGAGGCATATAAAAAGACATAGTACTGTGTATGAAGTGATGCCACAATTTGCATTATTTCCTCAAGTAGATTATTCCATAAAAAAGTGTGATCATCAGGATAAACACATCATAAAAAGGCATTAAAGGATATATGCGTAAGGTTTTTCAAAGTTAACAAGATGGTAAAGATTAGAATTATAGGGGTACTATTTGGCATGTAGTGCCTCTATTGTCTTGCTACAATTATAAATTTTTGACACAAAATGAGTCTACATTGACAAGAAACTCATTGTCTTTGGTGTTTTACTAGTATTGATGTTAGAAATAGCGAGAGCTCAGTGTGGTGGTGCATGCCTGTAATCCCAGTACTTCAGAGGCTGAGACAGGAGGATCTCTGTGAGTTGGAGGCCAGCCTGAACTACAAAATGAGTTTAAGGCCAGTATAAACTGCATAGTGAAACTGTTTCAAACAGACAAACAGAAATAGGGAGAGGTTCTGGGAAAAAATTGAAAATTCTGTGGAAATGGAATTTTCTAAATAGAAGCAATGTTATTAAAATGTTATGCTTATATGCTCACTAACATTTGGAAGTTAATCTACTATGTTTGTAGAAAAAGAGTATGGAAAAATAGAAAAATTCAATAAGTGCTAAGAATTTAATCCTTGTCAACAGTATAGTATTTTTAAAAATTACATAATTATTCTGATGTCTTCTAGCATTTAATGACACCAGACTTCTTGGAAAATCATTCTTTTCTATTTTTAGCAACTTTATGCTTTAGTTTTTCATTATTTTCAAGTGCTTTTACCCCCTTTTAGAATGTGCTATTTTAATGATGCTTTAAGAATAAAAATAAACATGCAAAAACTAAAATAGGTTTTTGTTGTAATAGCTACTCTCTTCATATTTCCTCTAAGATTCTTCAGTTGCTATAAGGCAAAACATAAAATCCATTATTAGAATGTTCTCCCTGCCAGGTTTTTATTACTAATATGTTGTTTATTTTTAATCATCTTTTGAATTATTGACTATTTTATGGTGTCTCATAACAGCAATTTCTATTTGTTTTATATACTTCATAGAGTAGATTTCATTTTTCTGCCTCACTGTATTATATGTAATGGCTTAGCTGTGCAATATTTGCTTGATGTAGGAGATCTTAATTTGCTTTAACACATTATCCTCTAAAATAGCTCTGGTTTTATTTGGTCTTGTAAAAGCTTTATCTTGAAATACTCTGAAAGATGCTTTATTTTCTATTCCCCTATCTTTTAAGAAAAAATACTTAAAATTCCTCCTGGTATTCTTGTCACATGTCATGATATTAAGCAGATGCTCTTATTGTCTCTGCTAGATAATACTAAAATGCATAAATTCAGATTTCAAAACAATTGATTAATTTCACTGACTTTATTATTTCACTATTTTACTACTATGTTATGACATTTTAAGCTAAGCTTTGCAATAGTTTTTTTCTTATTTTTATTTTTACTACTTAACCTCTAGCTAATTCTTTCTTAGTTCTTAGCTGGACTCCACAGTGATTAATCTATCTTCTGTCATCTTCCCTGTAGTTCTCAGCTGAACCCATAGGGTACTGTGCCCTATTCTACTCTTTTCAACTCTCCCTCAATGAGACATAACTAAGAGATTGTTGTATGCTTGAGAGGAAAATTTTCAGAGTGGGGTGGCAGATGGATATACAAGAGTCACTGGTGCAGTGATAATGGAAATTCAACTCCAATTAGATTTTAAAGTTGATTGCTTCGAAGAAGTCTAGAAACGATATGGAAAGAGCTGTTCACCATATTGGAATTTTGTGCCTCCTACCAGATTGCTGAGGGATTTGATGACAAAATTGAAGGAGTTTGTGATTAGGAAACTAGGATGATTTTGATGATGATGATGATGATGATGGCTTATACTTGCAAACACTCAGTGTATATTAGGCACCACATTAAGGCGTTTCAACAGTATATTGAATATCATCAGTTGCCTTCAGTGTTAATGTATTAGTTTTCTATTAATAAATTACCAATAGCTAAGTGGGATAATACAATAAACATTTATTATCTTATTTTCTGAGGGTCAAGGATCTGGGCACAACTTAGCCATGATCTTATAAGAGTATCACATAAGTGCAGTGAAGGTTTCAGCCAAGGGTAAAATTCTTCTCTAGAGGTTTGACTTGGAAGGGATCTGCTTTCTTGCTCTTGCCCTAGCAATCTTCAATTATTTGTGGTCCTTAGATGAAGAGCTATTTATTCTTTGCTCACTGTTGGCCAGGGGCTGCTCTCAGCTTCTAGAAAATACCCAATTCCTTGTCATGTATATTCTCCAGTGTGGATGCTTGCTTGTGTCCAGCCCAAAGGTCTCCTGAAAGACAGATGATACAACTCTATGTGAGATAATTTATACATCATGTATACTGATTATTCATATTTTGTCATCTTTTCATTTTTTGCCTTTTGTTTTTCTGAGATAGAGTCTCACTATGTAGTTCAGGCTGGCCTTGAACTCAGAGCAATCCTGCCTCAGCCTCCTTAGGGCTGGGAGCACAGGCCTATACCACCACACCTACCTCAATCTTTTCCAGATTCTGTGGCTTAGAAGCAGGTTATATGCTGTCCATACCTAAGAAGGGAACACAAGGAAATGTGAATCATGTGAGTCTTAGGAATTCCTATACCACAGGCAGAGATTACTATTTTTTTCTCATTATTTTTAGCCTTTTTTACTCTAAGTAATAAAATACTTCATTATTAGTTGAACATAATGTCATCGATAGTAAAGAATTCATTCTGTAGTTTCTCTTGTAATTATGTTTGACTATTAAAGTGCGGCAGAAGCAACCTCACCAGAATTATCTACTTCTGACTTACTGTGAAAGAAAAATAAACTTTTATTTTGGAACCACTTTTACATTGGCTGTCCACTGTAGGACATATCCTTGAATTCCTCATCTGATGGCCAGCTTCAGAGCAGCTCTGTTTTGTTCCAGTGTGGCCCAAGTGCAACTACTCTATAAAGCACAAATCGACTTCTTTCACTCAATGTTTTCAGCAGGAAAAGTTCTCATCTTAGTACTATGGGAAATGAGCCCCACTGAGACTATCTTTCCCTCCCTCTTTTCAAATAATGCTCATTTCAAATTTACAGTGTGTGGGTTTTTAAAATTGTTTTTTATTTTAAAGGGAACAAAGCAAAACAGGACAAAGCAGATCAGAACAGAACAATGCAAACATTACAGGACTTCAAAACAAGACAATAAGAAATTAACAGTGGCTACCATAATGTCTCTTGTTTTCTTTGCAATAGTTGTCCATTACTTCACACACAATTCAAATAAAACAAAATAGTACAAAGCCAATCAAAACAAAAGAATGAAAGCATTAAGGGACTTCAAAACAAGATGATAGGAAATTAACAATGGCTAACATAATGTCTCCTGTTCTATTTAAAATGACTGTCCAAACTTTCACACATATTGAAATCAAATAAAACAGACTAAAACCAATCAAAACATATTAACCATTGTTCATTTCCTGTTATCTGGTTTTGAAGTATGTGAGTGTTTTTAGGAACTTAAAATCACTTCTAGGTGCAGACTAAATCAAATCAGAATAAAATACTGTTTCCTGACTCAGGTTTGGGAATATGGCATTTCCTAGCCAACTTTTAAAAAATTTTTAGTGAAAAATTAACTAAGAAAGTAATAAGATCCAAAATGTATTACTTTTTGTTTTTCTTTTCTGTGTCTTTTTAACCTTAAATAGTAATTTTTAAAAAGATCCAAAATGTATAATAGATATTGTGATAATGAAAGGGAAAGAAAGTGCTCAAAAAAAAAAAAAGAACAACTGTGATAGGGAAAAAGGAGAAAAGGAATGTGGGAAAAGATTATATGTATACAGGTGTATATATTTATGTGTGTATGTATGTATAAACACAAGATATATAACTATACTATTAGTGTCTGTTAGTTCATAAAAAAGAACAGTTTGTGCATTCATTGTTTGTTAGATCATTTTTTGTACCTGAATCTTGTAACATGAAAAACTACTTCTAAGATAATAATATGCAATATATTAACTAGTGTTAATTTCCTACTATTTTTGAAACTCTGTATCATATCCATCTTTTTTCTGTTTTGCTTTTTTAAATAATAATAAAAAATTATGGCTAGCCCTGTTATGTAGCAATGGTTCTGAGTAACCATATTTTACTTGACTCTTGTTACTTGACAAGACAGTTAAAGAGGCATATAAACAAACTGTACTTCTTTATATTGACCAATGTTTAGGCAGTGATCTAGAATCAGCATCCAGCCTTGAGCTGAGAAGTACTATAGAGAAGTATATTTGACATTATACTTCATAACTAAAAAACTTTTGAAGAATCAATGAAAAGTCATATACATATTAGTTGTATATTTGTTTTATTTCTTAAAAATATGAATTTTATCTGAGCTGCACTTAATTCTTCTTAAGGTTATTTGGAATTGTGTATTTTTACAAGTTTTACCAAAAAGGAAAAGAAATAAGAGTCCATAGAAATAATCTTTCTTCATTCATTTACTCATTCCTTTATTCTTTTAACAAACTGTAGATAAGGATAGAATTAAAGTACAGTACAAATTAGAATAAGATACTCATCCAGCCCTAGAGGATTTTTGTAGAAAAGGCATGAAGTAAGCACAAATAAATGTAAATACAAGAAAATACTTCCATAGGAGGAATTTTTGACTGTTACAATTTAGAAATCCTGTGTGAAACACTTTGAGTGTAAAATCAGGACATGAAATGTGAGTAACAGTAGAATATTTTGACACGTATTAAAGATGTCCCAGAAGAAGATAAAGTATTAACAAAAGCTTCTGGCAGAAAGTATGTGTCTTCCCAATAGAAAAAGGTAGGCTATTTTGCCTTCAGTTAAAAAGAAATGTGAAGAAGGAGAGTCATATCATTTACAACTTGGTAATGATTACATATTCACCATAAAAAGGGAAAAGGATTACACTTTCTTGATCAGCAGTTTGAAAATGTTGATGGGCAGAATATAATAGCAAAAATGAGTTACTACCTTTACCTCCACAGTCATTTACTCCTTGTTACATTCTGTATGTAAGAACTAATGTAAGAATTTAGTATTATACCTGATATTTTTTTCTAGAAAGATCAGATGTCAATTAATGTCTTGGATAAAGTCTGTTTCTTAAATGTTAGGGATGAACTTGTGATGCTATGTAAGCATTATTTTATTTTCTCCTTACCTGTTTTCTTACATGTCTCAGGTTGGATTCCCAGAAATGGACCCTGATATGAGAATTTTTATGCAAGGTTATTGAAAGAGTACTCTCAGGAGGATCCTATGAAAGAGTAAGAAATAGGATAGCATGAGAGAAACCTAAGCAAAGCTGTGGTTTTACCTGAAGCAAAGCCTTGGTGTGAACTCACTGGGAACAATGGAGCACGGGTTGTCCCATCTATAGGCTTATTTTACTTTTCCCTCTGTCATCAATTCATTGTTTAAAACTATCCTTTTGAAGATGGACACAACTTCTAATACTTCCTGGAGAAATAACTCTCAGAGGCTGAGGATGACTGTAGAGAGACTCCTTCTTTTAAGGCTAACTCTTAGTAGCCAATAATCACACAGTTGGAAGTGGGATGTGTTACAGATAAAAGGAAATATTTTTTATTTGTCACTAATTTTGTCCATGAGTAACAATTGGCAATATTTTGAGGATATTTTTGATTAACATGGATCAGGAGGAGGGACAGTGGAGCAGTGGAGGTACTGATACTGGCATTCAATACCTAGGGCCCACACATATATATATATATATAGCACAGAATGGTCCATCTATAAAAATGCATCAAGATTGATAGATTCTGGTAAAGAGAATATGAGCAGGGCACCAAAGGTGACTATTACATCTTTCTTTCAAGGTATGCTTTGGACTCTTCCTTTGTAAATTGCTATGGAGGGTACCATTCTTATGATTTGATGAGATCTAGCTTGCAAAAAAATTAATTGTTAATTAATCTGTTCATGAATTTATTCAACAGATATTTCACCAAGTAATTTTTGAGAGCTCTCTATGTTCTAGGTAGTAGGCTGGGCAATAAAAATGTAGGGTAAGGTACAACATAGTATCTGCTTTCAGGAAAGGAAAATTGGTACCAAGAGTGAGGTCACTGTAATGACTATACCTGACCATGTTCAAAAGCTTTTAAAATTGCTTGTAGGAGGAGTTTGAAAGATAAGGAGATTGAAGCTAGAGAAACCCTGGTATGCTGTGGGCAATTCTAGATGGAGCTTAGAAGGCTAGAATGATGATGGGAACTGACAATAAAGGACAGGCCCATGAGGTTTCAGATTGAAGAAGTCTGTTGAGAAACAGACTACAGAGCATGTGTATTACATTCTGGTAAAGAATTTTGTCCATATCTTAAGATTTTGTGTGAAGCTGAATTTAAAGGTAGTAGACTAATTAATTAATCTGGTGGAGGAATTGCAAGGCAACCCAAAAATCAGGCAGTGACATGCTGTTGTCAGCCAGATTTATAATGAGAATTAAGAGCAAAAAGCAGAGCTTCAAGATGGAAAATTGTGCATCTTCACCAGAAAGGAAGTACCTGCAATGTTAGGGCCAAAGAAAGTGTGGTTGCTAAAAGGATTAGCACCATGAAAAGGAGCCAAGTATTTTGCATCAAAACAATAGGCAAGATTCTTTCAGAACATTTCAGGAATTTGCCATCCATTATAGGCTCAAGAGTATAAAAAGTTAAATTATTTTGGAACACGGTGCTTTGGAAAGAAAGGACCAGAGTGTGATCCCTGAGAAATGTTCCCTTGTGGAATGTTGCCCCAAATTCAGTAACTTACACTGCTGCAGTTATGGTCTAAGGGTGCCTGACAACTGCTTTAGCTAGCAGAAAACCTTATTATTATCCACCTGGTGCTGGTTTTCGAGGCATGCAGATTGCTGTAGTTATGTAGTTACAGAGGCTAACACCCACATTTAAGAGAAAGGCCTCAGAGATCAGGCAATATAGTGTCAGAGTCATAGTTTCTGCCAGGAGCCCAAGAGTGAGATGTGCACGAAGCTGTAAAAGCAAAGCCAAAACTATGAATGAAAGACCCCCAAGAAGTTGGAGATGCCTGGAACTAGGAGCACCTATCAAGGAGAGCCCATAGCAGTGACCAAAGTCAGCCCAAGAGAGAGGTCCTATGGACTACAACAAGCAGGACCATAGGACTGGAACTGTCCAAGCTCTTTTGAATCTAATACCTCACTACTACGTAGCTCAGGTGCTGGGCATGGAGTTACAGGATTTGATGTTTGTTTTGCTGGTTTTTGATCCTGCTTTGATGTAATTCCTTTCTAGCTCCCCACTTCCCCTCTTTTGGAATTGTATGGTGGGAGTATTTACCTTTCCTTATTATTTTTGTATGGGCTTCCAGCTAAGAGTTTGCCAATCAGAAAGAACTTTGGACTTAGAGTTTTGAGCAGTGCTAAAACTGTTCAGATTCTTAGAGATGACTGAATTAATTTTACATAATGATATATATATACATATGACTGCTGTGGGGAGTGGCTGGGGAAAAATGTTATAGTTTAGCTCCAAAATGTCCCGTAGTCCTCAGAAAAATGTTTATAGCTGTGAATTCCCACAGTAGAAAAACAGAGAAATCTCAAATAAATAACCTAATAATGCACCTCATGATTCTAGAAAAACAGGAAAGATCCAAATCCAGAGCTAATACAAGCAAGAAAATTATAAAGATGAGAGCAGAAATCAATGAAATGGAGATAATAAAAAAATTCAAAGAATCAGTGAATCAGTGAGCTGATTCTTTGAAAGAATAAACAAAATAGACATTTAGCCAATCTTATCAAGAAAAGGAGAAAAAAGACACAAAACAATGCAATTAGAAGTGAAAAACATAAAATCACAGTGACACTGCAAAAGCCAGAATAT